ACACACACACACACACACACACACACACACACACACACACACACACAGAATCCCGTTGCCTCAGTCCTGAATTCTTCCACTGTGACTCTGTCTGCCATCTTTCCAGTGAGTGTTTTTTAGAGCAGGTGGAAACGAGAGGCTTCGGCTTCTCACTCTTGTTTGTCTCCGTTGCCTAGGTAACACCTACAAGTACCAAGCAGGGAACCGAACGAACGCTCTGTTGTGGTTCAAACATCTGAGCGCTGCCTGTCAGAGCAACAGGCAACAGGTACGGAGCTGCATCACACACACTCACTCACTCACTAACTGTGCACTCTCTCACTAACTCACTCACACTGTGCACTCTCACTAACTCACTCACACTGTGCACTCTCACTAACTCACTCACTCACTCACTCACTCTGCTCTCACTCTCACACACTGTGCTCTCACTCACTCACTCACTCTCACTAACTCACTCGCAGACACTCACTCACTAACTCACTCACACTCACTCACTAACACACTCACACACTCATGTTTAAATTACATTTATGAATATAAAACTGTGCAAACTTTGTAATGAGATCAGTTAGGAAAGTTTTAAAAAGCAAAAACTAAATGTTTCCAGTAGAGTTTGAAATGACGGATAATGAAGATAAATCAACACTTTTCTTGCCACAGTGTTTGGTTATTTATACGTTTCCGGAACAGATGGACAACCGTTTCAGTGTTGGAATGACACGAGGCACAGGTTAAATCAATGTAACTTATGAATAGTACAAAAAAAGGACCATGATGAGTCATTTTAAATGAAACTTCTTTAACCTTATTTACCACTCACCTCACCCACACACGCTCTTTCTCCCCCAGGTGCCAGCCAATCTGATGTCATTCGAGTGACCGGCGCTGAGGAGTGTGACTGAGCAAAGACGAGAGAGAAAGAGAGAGGGAGGGATGATGAGAAAACAGACGACGAGGAGGATGAGGAGGATGAGGAGGAGTGTTGTATCAGTAGTGGGAGCTTTCACTGCCATGAGCCCTGACCGCCGATTCTCTGATTCTTGCCCCGGCCCCACTGCAGCCTCACCTGCCACCACTGCCTTAACCAGAGTACCCTGTGTGTGTGTGTGTCTGCGTGTCTATGGAAGTGACTGTTTTGGGCGTACTAACTACTGAACAAGGACCTGCACCACTGCTCTTGTCTCCCATTCGCTCTCAGCGTCTTTTTGTTTTTACTGTCCAGGACTTGGATGAAACCGTTGGACTCCTCCCCTCCCTCACAGACAGACTGTCCTCCATTGGACAGAAACAATCCTCTCCTCTGTTTTTTGTTGTTTTTGTGTTGTTTTTTTAAAGGGGGGGTTAACTATTTTTTTTTGTGTGTCCTCCACTATGCTCAAACGCAAGATTTCTGTCTTTTAATCGACACACAATCACTTCACGCACACACACATCGGACTAACCCGTTTAAAAAAACGTTTTTTTTACTTCCTGATTCACATGTGTTGGGCTTGGAGTCACAGGCTTATTTAGATGAACTACGGCACACAACTACGCTCACTCTCACGCATATTTGATCGCGTCGGTGTAAATGTTAAGGGCTCTGATTCGCAATCGATTCCAGCTGAAACAATTCCCACACTTCCTGAATGTGTCTAGTTTTTATTACTCTTTCTTCCCCTCATATACTCGCTAACTGTTCTGTACGTATGTACTAGTTTGTGTAACTTGAGGAGGGGTTGAGGTGGGAGGGCAAATCCACAAAGGTACGATCATCCCAGAGTCTAAGCTAAGACGTGTTCACGGTTGGGTAGACGAGAGTTCATCCTTCTATTTTTTTACACACATGGTTTTGTTTTTCCTCCAGTGTCTGCTCTCTGTCGGTCCGACGCTCTGTTTCACCAGACTCTCTCACACACACACACACACACACTAAACACTAAGACTTGAAACTGTGAAAGAGTCCAAGAGAAGAGATCGACAAGAACTCTCAATCCATGATTTGATCTCTTCTTCTTGTTGCTTGATGTGGTCAGAGCCTCTGGTCTGGACATTCAAAGCTACCTGGAGCCATGCAGAGTCTACTTTATATCTTCTTTGTTTTGTGTTGTTAGTTGTTGTTTCTTTTTCCTTTTTTGGGGGGGAGGGAAGGTGTATTTCACAGTATTACCATGTAGTAAACGTGTAGTTTTGTCTGTTAAATTTGAATGTTACATTTTTTTTGTGTGTTTTTCTCTCCTTTTGGAGAAGTTATGTTGAATCTTTCATGTGTTTTTTTTTTTTTTTTGCCCCTTATTCAATCAACCAGGACCCGGCTTGATTTTAGACCCTTCCATCTGATTTGGAATAAGCACCTTGGTTATAATTAGTGCCAAGTGATGTAACGTCACCGTGTTTTCTTCAGTTAGGACGAGCAGAGCCGCGGTGGAATCAGTGCAGATGTGGAATCAGTGCAGATGTTTCACGGTGCCACAAATTGCTGTTTTTGTTTCTTCGTTGTGAGCAAGATGGATGATGGAGGTGACGATGATGGGAAGCTTTTTCGCCCAGTGATATTTATCAAATTCTAATCTTTTTTCTTTTCTTTTTTTCAAACAGCTGTTTACATTGTACGTTTACACAATCGTTTGCCCCCACAATCCCTTCGATGCTCCACATGTACTGTAGACACCTTTAGTATTACAGTACGCAGACGGGGTGTTTTGAGCTCAGCGATGGGGTGGAAACAGATCCTCTCTGATGTGCTTCAGTCAGTGTTCTGCATTTAAACTGTCCTCAACAGTCCAAGTCAACTATTCAGCTTTTTAGGTCAAACGAACAACAACAAACTGAGACAAAAGACAATTACGTGCCCGTAAAGAGACATTCAGTCCTTTGTGTTTTGACTAAAGGAGAGATGGTTGCGGATGAACCTGTGAATGAGGAAGACAAAGATGGGCATGTGGATGCATTCATGCGCCTGTGCACACTTCTTTATTATTTTTTTTTAACACGTTTTAATTCAAGCTGCACAGAGGCCGACTCACGTCACAACTCCACGCTGGCTTGTGTGAAGAAAGGAGGGACAGCGTGGGAAGATAAGGAAGTGGAAACTGGTGCTCGTCTGTGTCCACCGAGGCTTTTTTTCTTCGCTGCACAAAGAGAGCAGAGACTGTTTTGAAGCCACACAATCCCAGAGCTGAAGCCCTCTGGAGGCTGATCATCGCTGGTGTTTGAGTCTCATCGGTGGGCCGGGCGGACCAAGAGGGTCTGAATGAAATGGGTGAGACGAGAGTTTGGGTGGGGGGGGTTTATAGGCCGTTTACCTCTGTGTATCGATGTTTGGTGGAGCTTAACCTGCTGTCATTTGCAATATATTGACATTTAGGTGCAGTTAAAGGGACAGTTCACCCCAAATGTACATATTTTACCTCTTTCCTGTTGTGTTATTTATCATTCCAGATAGTTTTGGTGTAAGTTGCCGAGTGTTGGAGATATCAGCCTTCTCTCCACCATACGGGGCCGATGCATCCAACACTCAGCAACTCACACCAAAACAATCTAGATGGATAAATGGCACTGTAGGTAAGAGAAAAAATGTTTGGTATGAACTGTGCCTTTAAACAAGAATTAATGCTGTCTCAAAAAAAAGGATTGTAAACCGAAGGAGCTGGGATGTAAACAAATGGCATCCCAGTCACATTTCCCTTCTTTCTATTTGCTGATGTGAGATGATTTGGTTTTAAACTCAAGCAGACCTTTTGAAGCGGTCTTGGAAGGTTTATTTGAATCAATTTGGATTTAACGATGTTGCCCATCGATAATTACCCAGATCATCGTGAGCGATTTTTGTGAGGTTTTCCCTCTCTGTAACCTGAGTTTACACACTTTTCTTTTTGTTATCATTTCTGTACAGTGTGTGGTCAAAATAATGGAAACGCATATTTCTTGTTTTTGGGGACGTTTTGTGGATTTAGCCGACTCATTTCTTGGATTGACCCGTGATCATCTATTTTGGGATGAGAGCGGAAAGTTCAAATGTCAGACGGTTCTCGTTCGACATCATTTTGGGTTGTTACAAAGAAACTTGATGTTTGAAAAATCTCTTGTTTTCCGTGGTGAGCGTTCATGTTGGTTCCTTTAAATTGACCCCACTGTCTAAATGCACAACTCGCCCTGTATTAGCTGTTTAGAGTGAAGCTGCCTTCTGATTTCATTCTTTTTTTTTTTTTTTTTTTTAATGGTCATGAAATAATTGTTTAACAGTTGAGGTGAAGGTTTCGACCAGAGGAAAAGCTTTCAGTGCGTTTTTGTCTTCTGATTTTTGTGAAAAATCAATGTGAATCTGGACGAGCGTCATTCACCGTTTACCGAGGGCGACGACCTGTGTGTGTGTGTGTCTCTGTGTGCGTGCGTGTGTGTGTGTCTGTCATGACTGTGGCGAGCGCTGTGACCTCATAGCTGAGTGATGCGCTGCCTGGTGTGAAGACTGAGAACCAATAAACACTCTGCCCTTTTTTACTCCACACGTCGGTCTCCTGCTCATTGTTCAGTTGGAGTGTGTGTGGGGCTGTTTATCCGGGAGGGGGGGGGGGGGTAGATGTGTGTGTGTAATGTATCACGGTTACATCACAAGGTTGAAGACTATTTAAATACTGACAATCAGTGCCATCCTTTATTTATTTTTTGAGTTGGATGACGGAGAGCCACTGTAACCGTCGAGGAAAGTGTCCTGACGGGATTTATTCTGCAGAGTCGGCTTCATTTCTTTAAGACACTATTCCCAAAGTATTCCCCAAAAATGTAGATTCCCGAGTCAGCTAACCAACTACCCCAAAAAACTTACATTAACTTGTAATTGTTATTTATCTTGAAGCTTTACTTCACGAGGCTGCAGTTACAATAACATCACAGTGCAGATGTTTTTTAATATTATATAATATGGGCCAGTAACTGGTGCAATGTAACTAAGTACATTTACTCAGGTGCTGTACTTAAGTAGAGTTTAAGGTACTTTTACTTCCCTTGACTATTTCCATTTTATACTCTACTACATCTCAGAGAGAAATCTTGTGCTTTTTACTCCACTACATTTCTATTACAACTTTATTTACTAATTACAGATTTTGATAATAATAGAAATGCATGCTGGCTTGCATACTGCAAACATGCAACCAGATGCAGTACATCCTGGTATTTGTTGGCATACTGCATTTGACACACTAAGGTCCCAATCTCCACACTCATGGACTCAGACTTTGAGGCGCATTCCCACAAAGTCCATGAGGGTTTAGGACTGTCCCACTTTCAAATCGTCAAGTGATTGAGGGCTCTCTCGCACACATTTAGAGCCCTTTAGGATTAAAGATGTTATGTCATCGTAACATGATACGTTGCAGAAAAGTGCTCATCAAGTCTCATTGGTATTTACACCCTTTCAAGGCCTCGCAGCCTCTCGCAGTCAACCATTTAACAGGTGACGTCAGTTAAATCCCTGAGGATTCAGGGTTTAAGGCTTTAGGAGGACATTGGGATTGGGCCTAAATCTTATTCTGGCATACTAAATAGTTCGGTTATATCGGTATTGGAACTCATTCAGAGAATTTATCCGGGGAACTTGGAATAATTTCACCCATTTCTTTACACTTCTATAGTTATGTAAATGAATTACGCAAGAAAATATTAGACTTGCATTATAATATTCAACATATTGTCATTTATTTTATTTATTTACATTGCACGGGTTTTAAAAAAAAAATCATTATTTGAACTATGAAGCCTTTTGTTAAAAAAAACCAAAAAAAAACCGGGAACCACTACTGTAACTGCATTAGTGATCGTTGCATCTATCTCCAGCCGTGTATGGACGGACATGGCGCACTACCGCCACCTGCTGGCCGCCCGGAGCGCCTACGGGAAGGAGGAAGCGTTTCGGAAGTGAACACGGACGGTAGAGAAGGAATCGAAGTAAAAGGGCGGAGGAGAGGGAGCTACCGGGGGGGGGAAGACGAAAAAATGATTAAAAAACCAGCGGGACAATTTATTATTGTTAACTTCAATATCGCAGGACTTTACGGACGCTGGGGGGCTACTTTGTGTCTCCGGTGATCGGCGTATGGATATAAGGTAAGTCCGCTTTGGTCCGCAGCCAGTAAAAGCAACCGACGACGTTCAGCAGCTAGCAGGCAGCGTAAAGCTAACCGACACAGCAAAGGTGTGCAGCGGTTTGCTAATAAGCAGCTAGCAAGCACTGTAGCGATAGGTGTGACTCATATGTCGTTGTTTATGGTGACCTGATTTAACGTGCAATTTATCAGTTCGGAAAAAAAAAAAAAAAAGCAGCAGCATCATGAAAGACCGATTGTGTGAATGAAGCGGTTGCCTGCGTGGCCATGAGCTGTGTTTAATATCGTCATTTGTAATATTTTACCCTTTATTAAATGGCTAGTTTTGCTGCCGTTATGTCACCGTTTTTGAAAAACGTTGCGCCGCGTCCGTTGGCAGCCAACGTCTGTTAACTGCCAGTTGAACGTGGCAGTTGTATTAATTTGACTGCTGACATGTTAACAGTTAAGCTCCTCCTCCTCTCCTGTTTGTTGCTGTAGCAGCCAGGTGAAGTCAACATGGCGCTTTTTTTTTTGTAATTAAGAGCAACATCACTGTTGGTTCAGCCCAATTCCTCTTATGCAAGGTTAGGCTGTCACCTCATACGACTCCCTCTCTCTCTGCACCACAGCAGGACTACCGGTCCATCAGTCTGCTCACTGGAAATAATCCATATCCCCCAAATCCAGTGTTGGAGAGGGAGCTGAAACGGGGATGTTTTGAATGCTGTAAATTCTTTTTTTAGTTGACAGCTTGTGCACAAAGTACATGTGTGTTTTGGCGTGTCATCCCGTTGTGGTTGCACATCCTGGACAGGCTTCAGCTGTGCTGCAGTACTGGGTCATCGTCTCCCCCGAGGGGGGAAACAAGCCAGAGCAGGCAGCAAATCGATCAGTTTCTTCTGCCACATATTATTGACGGCTCATGTTCCCTTTTCTGAGTCCTCGTCTGTCTCCTCCCTCCTAAGCCCTCTCTCATTTCTGTTCCTCTCCAGGTGACTCGCATTGTAGCACCAGAGGACAGCAGCACTCGTCCCTCAGAAGAGCTCGTCTAAAGGCAAGGGGGGGGAGGTGGGAGGGTCCGGAGACGGAGAGCTGCAAGGGGTCATGCATCAGGGGTGAGGGGGATTCACTGCAGGGGACACACACACACACACACACACACACACACACACACACACGGCGTCGGGTGAGGAGGAGGTCGAGGGCAGGTTTGGTGTGGAGATGAAGCTCAAGCAGCGCATGGTGGTGCTGTGTGCCGTGCTCCTCCTGCTGGGCCTGGCCAAGATCTTCCTGCTGGATGGAGGCGAGGGCTCCGCGGCCAGCCGACGGGATCTCAGAGCGTTTCGGAAGGTCAGAGTCCCAATTAACCAATTCTTTTTCAGACTTGTTTACAAAAAGTACTGTCAACTGGAGGATGCACCAACTGTATAAAGTCATATGAGAGCTGTTGCCAGACACGTCCATGACGTTATCGCGTTATCGCCCACCTCTTGACAGATGGAAGCCGGCCTTTCTCTGTCGCGGGGAGCCCGCCTCACACACACCCTCCAGTCTCCGTGGGAGATAGCGAGCCAGTGGGTGGGCCCAAGAGAGGTGTACCCCGAGGAGACCCCGGAGCTGGCGGCCGTGCTCATCTCTCTCAGCAGCGCCCGGGTAGAGCGGGCGGACGTGGGCTACAAGGGCACGCAGCTCAAAGCCCTGCTGGTGCTGGATGGGGGGCAGAAAGTGGTCTTTAAACCCAAGAGGTCAGACTTGTAAATAGTGAGATTACACACACACACACACACATGTTTAATGCTTTAAGAGCGATTCAGACGTCTTATTTGTGTGTTTTCCGCCCATCCGTAGATATAACAGAGACTACGTGGTTGAAGGCGAGCCGTATGCAGGCTATGACCGACACAACGCGGAGGTGGCTGCTTTTCACCTGGACAGGTGTGTAAAAACAGTGTTTACAAAGTGCCTTAAAGTAAAGCAAAAGCAGGATACGAGGCAATATAACAGAACATTGAGCAGGACGAAGCTAAGGTAACAGATAAAACAATTCTGTAATCGCTCCACAAACCGCTGTGTGATAAGTTCTGGTCCACTCTGCAGGATCCTGGGCTTCAGGAGAGCGCCCCTAGTGGTCGGCAGAAACGTCAACGTGCGGACGGAGATCAAACCCGTGGCCACAGACCAGCTGCTGGGCACCTTCCTCATGCAGGGTTAGTATTGTCCACCCCTCCGTCTTCCTCCACACCGCTCAGATGACTTTCTAATAAGTGAGAGAGGGAGAGTGTGGAGTCACTGCACCGATGATTTGACTTGTCGGTCCACTTTCTTTCTACTTCAGATCTCAGTTTTCACACTCTCGTTCACTCTCCTCCCACCGTTGCCGTCTTCTTCTCTTTATCAGTCGGCACACTAGACAATATACCCTCGTCCTGTTTGCTGATGGTGTGAAAGTTAAGGCAGTAAAAGCTCTCTGTTTAACACACTACTAAAAACACAGACGATGTATGTTTAGTCCTGTAAAGATTCTAAGAGGTTTTAACTCTCCTCTTGTATGTTTATTTTTCTAACATGAAGCAAAGACACATAGATGTATTGTAAACTAATACATAATCCCTGCAGTGAGCGCTACTTTAGTTAGAGGGGAACTCCAGCAGTGCTGCACATAAAGGTCAATCTACTCGTCCTAGGAGCGCTGCTCCACCTGTGAAACGGTGACATCAGGTCTGATGATGTCGTTCAGGGTCGTGGAAGCTCCTCCTTAAATATCTTTGTGTGTATTTGGAAATTATGGGAAATGTTGCAAATCATCAGGAGCAGTACTGCTTAATTTGAATATTGAATTATTTATATTTTTAGGATATTTAGGATGTACCTTCATTTGTCACTTATTGATATTTAATATCAATAACTGTTTAAGTTTTATCCTTAAACAGTTTCCCACTTCATTGTGTGGTACATGCACGTGTGCGTGCGTGTGCGTGCGTCAGTCACATCTTTGATGTTGTGCAAGTTGATTTATGTTCAAAGCTGTCACTTACTGCCAGTCAGTGAACTTATCATGACTCATCTCTATAGCGGCCTTTGCATTAGTGGTTTACAGCCACTTGGCAAAATGACACCCACCACCGTGGTGTCATGGATGTGTCATTCAGTCCCCAACAGAAGAGTTTAATAAAGCAGAACTCAGGCGGGTTGCTTCCTCAACAATTGAAGCTTCTAGTCATGCATAAGGATTACTTTTGATCCGTCCAGGTTTTTAATCATCCGACGATGAGATTTCTATCTCCACCTCGTGTTATCTATATAT